AGCCCTCCAGGAGGGTTCTGTACCCTCTGCCTTACTCCTGCAACATGCTGGAAGTTGTCTGATCCTGGAGGCACAGGTGGGTGCCCTCACTAGGGAGCTGCAGGCTGGGGAGGTGGAGTTTGGCCTGGGCTGTGTGTTCCTGCAGAGCTGCCTGTGTTCCATCAGGAATGCTGGTGAAGCAGCTGGGGTGCTGTCACCAGTGTGTCCTGTAGGAAGGTGTCACAAAGCCGGTGTCACCTCCCCAAGGAAGAACAGCAGTTTGTAGCTGTAGGATGTGCTGGTTTGCTGTTCCTGGGGTGAGTCAGGCCTGTTTTGTCCCCAGACATGGGCTGCCTGAGGGACGTGGACACGGTCACCATCTGCATGAAGTTCCCCAGCGGAGCCATTGTCACTCTGGACATCAGGCAGCACTGCACCAGGAGCTGTGACCAGCGGCTGGAGGTGGGGTCCTGCTGCTCAGTCAAGTCTGTTTTGACTCCAAGGCCCAGCACAATTTTTCCCCTCTGGGTGTGCCTGCAGCACATTTCCCAAAACCCCTCTGTTACAGAATCACTGAGGTTGGAAAAGACCTCCAGGATCATCAAATCCAACCTGTCACCAATCCCCACCTTGTCATCCAGAGCAGAGCTCTAAGTGCCACATCTGTTTGTTTGGCTGTTGTCTCAGCAGCAGTGGCTTCTTGTCCTTTTTCAATCTACAATCCTTCTCTTTTCTCACCCAAATTTTCTTTCTCTCCCATGCATTATGTGGTGTTATGAGCTGCATGAATCATACCAGAGCAGGAGCTGGTGTCAGCTCTCCTGAAGCTGAAATTGAGCAGATTTCCTTTGTCCTTTCCAGAGTGGAAGTGTAAATTCCTACAGTCATGAATAATTACAGCTATGGGGGCTGTTCTTGGGGAGGAATTTCTGTTAGGCACTTCTAAAAGGGGCTTTGCTCAGGTGAGGTACCACACAAGTGGAAGCCACTGTACTACAGCAGATCCATGGTGTTTCTGTTGTGTCTGAGCCATACCAGGGCTGGGGCAGGTGTGACTCCTCATTTCAGAACCTACTTTTGTCTTGGTTTTACAAACCAGGGCTTCTCTAACCTGGCCAGGTGTGTGAGGTTGAAAATATGATAATTTAAAAATGCTCTTTCTTCCCTGTTTTGCTCCTTCCCTCAGGTTCACGGGTCTCAAGGGATGTTAAGGGTGGACAACCAGAACCCCCTGGGCATCACAGAGCATGGGACTTCTGTGTCCATCTGCCCCCAAACCCAAGCTGAGCGCTATAGAGATGCATACAGGGAGCTCTTCCGGCACTTCCTGAGAACCCTGAAAGGTGGGACAAGGCTTAAATTGATGGCTGGTGTTGCTTTGGGTTGGTTTTGTTGGGGGTGCACTGTGTCAGGTCATGGACATGGGTGGGGGATGACGATCTGAAACTCTGCTGGGAAGAAATGAGAGTTGGGAGGGGAAATTGCCTTGGACCTTACTGTCCTTTGTGGTGAAAGCAGCTGTTTGTGACAGCCAGGAGATCCTCACCTGAGCCCTGGCTGTCCAGAAGGGATAAAAATCAGAGAATCATGGAGTGGCTTGGTTAGGAAGAGGCTTTGAAGATCATCTAGTCCAAGCTATTTTTGTTAAACAGTATTTCAGTTCTTGTGGCTGCATTGACAGGGCAGGAGGAGGTGCTGAAATGTTTTAACTCCTGCAGCACCAGTGCTGTGGTGGGATCTATGCTCACAGGGGACCACGGGTTTCATCCAGTGCTTTGTTGCTGTCCCACAGGCCAGGAGCCCCCCGTGGTCACCAAGGAGCAGTTCCTCTGGACAATCCAGGTCGCTGCAGCAGCTGAGCAGTCCTGGAGGAATGGATCTGCCGTGGACTTGCACAGCAGTGCCGCTGGAGTCAAGGCTGAGCTCGTGTGACAGCCGCTCCCACCCAGTGGCCTCAACAGAAGCCTGGATGGTGGTTTTGGTGTTCCCACTGGGAATGCCCAGCAGACAGAGGCACTTCTGAACCAGGAGCATTTGGTGCTGGGGCAGTGCAGGGTTCCTACCATGTCAGCCAGAGCCTGCAAGAAATTCCATGTGGTTTCATCCAGGTGGCTTTTCCTCCTGGAGAGTGCTGCTGGCCACAGAGCTCTGTTTCCCTGGGAGAAGAGTGATGCTCCTTGGGCCAGGCAGGGTGGTGTAGGACCACCAATAGCTGGGATGAGGGAGAAATCTCCCCTTGGAGAGGGAACAGCCACTGCCTGCCTGGAGGAGAAGTCACAAGCAGGCACCTTCCCAGCAGTGCCACAGGGGAGGTGATTTAATACTCAGAAAACCACAGGAGCATCTGTGAGTATGTTTAGATTGGATATATGGAAGAAATTCTTCCCTTTGAGGGTGGTGAGGAGCTGGAATAGATCTCCCAGAGAAGCTGTGGCTGCCCCTGGATCCCTGGAAGTGTCCAAGGCCAGGTTGGACAGGGCTTGGAGCAACCTGGGATAGTGGAAGGTGTCCCTGCCATGGCAGGGGGTGGGATGGGATGAGCTTTAAGGTTCATCCAAACAAACCAGTCTGGGATTCCATGATCCTGTTTGGGACACAGACCCCAGCAGAAGGCAGAGCCACAGGCCAATCAGTGTCTCTGCCAGGAGCTTTGGACCTTTGTCATGTCTGGAGCTCTCTGCAGGTCTGTGGCTCTGACTGTTCCTGTCTGGCTGTCACATGCCAGTTTTCAAGATCTTTTGAAACCTTTTTTTTTTTTTGTATTTTTTATTGAATCACAACAACATTCTTGACTTCTTCCATTTCAAGGCATTAGTTTATAAACTTCTTGCAAGAACCTTTAGTTCAATCAATTTCCAATTCCTACCTGTGGAATATATACTCCTAAAACTAGAAATAATGGTGAAATTTATGTTCTTTTTGGGAAATTGTTTTTAACAGCATAATTTTTCAAGCTCAGAAAACCTGTGTCTGAATGCTTGTTGTCTGTTCCATTCACTATTTTTTAGCCATTTATGGTGAAAAAAAAAGATTTATGAGTTCAGAAGTTGGTTTTTGCCTCTCTGTACTTGCTGTAGCAGATTAGTACACAATGGTGGGTTTCCTTTTTGTTTCAGTAGCTTCAGGCCCTTTGAGGTCCTACAGTTGAAGGTTTACTATAGGTTAGGAGGGCACTTTCTGTCCAATTTTAATTTCCAGATGCAAGAATTCCCACATTGCTTTTATTGTGTTACAAAAAAAAAAAAAAAACAAAAAAAAAACCCAAAAAAATAAACAAAACAAAAGATAAACCACAGCTATAAAAATAACACATTTTCCAAAGATAACATTACAAAAAATACAATTCCTATCACAGAGTGATCCATTAATACTGCTGGGAACAGCCCTGGGAATGCTGGAAATGTGAGTGGTTGTTGCAAAAGCTTTAAAGCATTAAAGTGCTTTACTGAGCCATTTCCTGGGGACACAGAGTCACTGTCAGCCACACCAGGGGAGTTCCCAATCCCTGTGGTGTGAGGGGTGGGATGGCCTCAGGGATGGTGGCTGCACCTGCAGCTCACCAGTACCCGAGGGAGAGGAGGGACAAGAGGCAGCCTCTGTGTGCTGAAGGCTCAGAGCTGCTGTGGGACACCCAGAGAGGGCTTTGGAGGAGGGCCCAGGGCTGTGGGTGCAGCACATCCAGTGGTCACACTCCTGTCCCCCTTGGAGAGGGAACAGCCACTGCCTGCCTGGAGAAGTCACATCTCAGGTTAGCCCTGGTGGGACTTGAGCTCTTCTGCTCTTGCTTAGAGGGTCCAGGGCTTTGGGAAGGGTATCCAGCCCCTTCCCCAGCCTGGGGGTGATGGGGAGCAGGGGCAGGGCTGCCTTTGGAGGCCTCCAGAGGGAGAGTGCAGCAGTGGGTATGGGCTGGGCAGCATTATCTCTGTGCAGGTTCCCTCAGGCTGCCCAAAATTCGAGTGACCCAGGACTGAGGGGGCAGGTGCAGCAGCTCCCTGCCCTCCCTTCCACAGTGACAGCTCCTGTGACTTCCAGTGCCTTTCCAAGACCTGTTGTGGGACATTGCCTTCCCAAATGTGTAGGGAATAGGGAACACACCTATTTGTGTCCTTGCTTTCTGTGAAAGCTTTTCTCCCCTGTCTGAATCAAGAGAGAAATTGCAGCTGGGGAAAATGACGAGGAACGGAAGAGAATTGGGCAGCCAGTCCATGCTGTGCTCCAAAAAGATGGAATTTACACCATGAAATTCCAGCTTGTCAGGTCTGACCTGTCAACAAAACTCCCCGAGGGAGCAGGGAAGGATTATCCAGACCTCTGACTTCCCAGGACAATCACTGGCTTTCCCCCTCCTCAACTGCATGCAAGAGATTCAGAGGAGGGAGAAAACTGAGTTTTGAATAGATAAGGCTGGAGACAGGATTCTCTGCATGTTTACATGCTACAACATGGAATTAATTTACTTGACACTGTGGTGTCTCAGGAGTCAGTATCAATTTTTATAGCTTACATGAAAATAAATCTTTCTCTCTCCTTACAGCACAACGAGTTTACTGTATGTACATTCTGTTAATATACACCAACCTTTAAGTACAAGAACACATTGGACAAACAGGGTCTTTCTGGCTCTACTGAGGGAAGGGGTGCATTTGGCAGTCCATGGAAAAGCAGGATGTGGCTTCACACCAGTCCCTGGCAATGCCTGCACAGGTCAGGGCTGAGTCTGTTGCAGTGACAAAGCCCTCTCAGTTTGGGACACCATGAAGAACACGGACGGTGAGCAGGGGTGAGAAAAATGAGCTGTCCTTACACGGCTGGATGCAGGGATGCTCCAGGAAAACACAAACCACACAGTGCCTCCTGTTCCGTGGGCAGGCAGAAATCCCACTCTGGCTGCTGATCTGACTCAGCTGCCCTCCTCCTTTCCTTCCTCCTCCTCCTCACCTCCAGTTTCCTCCCCAGGCAGGCACCTCCTGCCTGGCTCAGGGCCTGCAGTTCCCCTGGATAACAAAGTTAAACTCCTCCAGGTGCCCAAGGCTGCAAATACGTTTTGAGGGGGGGGTTTTGTCACCCCTCCGGTGTCTCGCTGCCACCTCTGGAGCCCCTCAGTTGATCTCTCCCTCCGTGAACTCCTCCTTTATGGACTGTTTGCGGGATTTGCAGTCCGGGAGGTCGAAGCCGAAGTCGGCCCAGTCGTCGGCCGCGCCGCGGTTGGGGATGGTGATGGTGTGGCGCACGCGGAAATGCACGGCCTCCATCACCCGCTGCCGCTGCAGCTCGCCCGAGCTGCCGATGGAGATGGTGGAGGCGTTGCTGCTGCTGGAGCGGATCAGCTGCTGGGCCCCGTAGTCGTGGCTCTGCTTGAGCTCCTGCAGACCCCGCCAGATGATCATGCGGTACTGCTCCGGGATCTTCAGTGCTGCGAGATCCTGCAAGGACAACACCACTGAGTGGGGCTGTACCAGCAGGAAAGAGCCCCAGGTTGTGCTTTGAGGGGACACATGGGTGCAATGCTCAACAGAGCAGAGCTGGACCTCCCGCCGTGGCCATGGGTGCCTCATCCCCTGGGTTATTTCTCTTTTGAAACCAAGTTACTCACTGCAGGTTTGCAGGCTGGAGATTTTTGTTGTTTTGGGAGGGGTTCACATCAAACTGATGTGGAAATGGGAGGGGAGGAAAGGATCATTCCCCTTGAACACAGGTTGCAGAGCAGCGTGTGGAGCATCCCTGTGGCTGTGCACTTGGGATGGACTCTGCTCTGGTCCTGGCCCAGGAGGCTGGAGCAGCACCAGCCTTGAGCACTGAGGTGGGTGACACCAGGAGAGGTGGGTGACCTCAGGCTGGGGACATGTGCCAGGACACACACCAGCACAGGGGGGAGCTGCCAGGGGTCTGTGTTAATGCCAGCACAGAGACTCACGGGAGCGTTAACTGGAGCAGACAGTGAGTATGCAATTAGTAGCTACAAACGCCGACTCAGACACACAGCTCTGCCCTGACACAAGTTTTGGCCATTCCTAAATGTTTCTGTGGACAACTGACAGGCAGTCATGGAGTTAGTTCAGCAAATGGTCCAAAACCAGGCTCAGGTTACACAACTGGCCCCAGCTACCATGACAAATCCTCATCTCTCCTGAGGGATGTTGTAGCTGCCAGGTAGAGACACTGCTACACCTGCCTGGGGCAAAACAAGGTCAAAACAGGGTCGGGCAGGAGCTCTGTCTCAGTCAAAACACCAACTCAGGGATTTACAGGGTTTTCCATGGCTCAAAACGTTCAGGATTATTTTTTGTTTTCCTTTTTCTTGTTCCTCTGATGGCCTGGGGAAGCCCCAGCTCCAGTGCCGCCCCTGGTACCAGCACCAGAGTGTGGCAGCAGCAGAAGCTGATGCTCTGGGCACTCAGGTATTTCCAGCATCCCCTCCATGCTTTTTCTGACAGCTTTTGCCTGACCTGGGCTATTTCATTCCAGACTTCCCTTAATAAAAATGTCCTGGGCTCAGCTCCCTTATTTTAGCTTCTTTCATTCTAAAGATTAGAAGGGGAAGAGGTGAGACCAGATTAAGCCTCTCTGAGCTGCAGTGGGGTGTCCCTGCTGGCTCTGTGGGATATGGGGTATTCCACTGAACACCTCAGCTGTGTTCTCTGTGTTAGGTGGAAAATCTCCCTGAGCTCAGGCCTGGGGATCTTTGATCTCTGTTGTTTCTGAGAGTCCGGAGGAAGCAGCTGAGATTGTTTGTGGTTTTTTGGGACTGGTTGTGATTTTTTTCGAGGCCTGAGCAATAGCTACCTCCAAAGGACCATCAAGGGGACAGGAATGACAGGCATCAATCCTGGGAACACATGTTCTCTGTGAGGGGTTGGGGCACCTTCCTCCAAAACACTTTTGATTTTGCTTTTCAGACCAACAGCTGCGGGAAACAAGTGGTAAGAACAGATCTCCCCAAAGCATTTACCTCTATGGATAGGTTCTGCAGGTGGTAAATATTCTGTAACCCTTGTGAGGTGAAATAGTCGATGCAGTTTGGACACCCCAATCCTGTTAAAAAACTGCAGAGAAAGTTTGGAAAATAAAGTGGCATTAAGTTCTCATGAACAACAGCTGTGTCCCATCTCTGTGGGGACAGACCATGTCAGGTGGGGGATGTGGAGAGCTCCATGGGTGCTCCACTGGCACTAAGGTCAAAGCACAGTGTGGGGTTGTGTTCATTCCTAAAACTACACATGTTTTTCTCCTGATTGTCTGAGATTTTGGCTCAGGAACTCATATAATATGAAGGAGCTCAAGCTACTGGGGAGGGGGATCAGGGCACAACCCAGGCTCTGCCCTGTGATCTGAGATTTTGGCTCAGGAACTCATGAGGGATCTCAAGCTACTGGGGAGGGGGATCAGGGCACAACCCAGGCTCTGCCCTGTGTGGGTGCTGGCCCAAGGTCTGTCAAAACATCCATGGTCTTTTTAAAGGCCAAAACATTAAAAACCTGCAGAGCTGTTAATACATTTCTGATTGAAATAAGCCACATGGACCCATTTCCAGGTGTTGCTGGAAGAAGAAGGGGGAAGCTCATAAAGATATGTAGGACAAGATCCTCTTTATGATGCACTTAATTTCTAATTGATCAGGGATGGATTCCCAGGGAGGTGTATGAGGGCAGTGGGGCTTCCTAACTGATTGGTAGCTGGGCTTTGGCTGCTGAGGTGAGAGGAACAGCAGTGATTTCTCAGTTGGGGCCAGTGGCCAGTTGACCAGTTGCCAGACAGATGGGAAGGTTAGAGCGAGGGGCACAGCAAGGAGCAGAGGACAAGACAGACAGGACACCAGGTGCCTTCCCTACCTGACGAGGCTGGGGTCTGCGTTGTAGGGTGGAGGGGGGGTGCAGTGTGACCCGGACACCATGGACTGGGATGAGTGGCCCCCGTTCATTTCTCCATTGGTCTGCATGGGGTGGCTGTTCAGCATTCCAGGTCCTGGGCAGTGACAACAAATACACCTGTTAGACACTACCCAGACCTGATAAACTGTGGGAAGCCAGGGCATAGGGAATATTTCTGTCTGCTCTGAGGGGTCCTCACCCCCAGGGAAGCACTGGCTTTGACCCTCACCCATGGAGAAAGCTTCCAGAACTACAAGATAGATTAGAGTCTACAAAAGTGTGAAACAGATTATAGAGAGTAGTATAGAATGTCACTTGGGTGAGAAAGTTAGGTTTTGGGATTTTTAGTATGTTGTAGATGGAGGCAAGATAGAGGGCATTGGGTGTTGTCCTGACCTTCTTCTTCACCTACTCCATTTTGTGTAGTGTTGGTGGCACAGGGTGATTGGTCAAGGAAAGCCACAGTTTTAGGTTACGTGGACAGACAAGGGATGAGTTGTTGGTAGACAGGTAAAAATAAAGTGCAATTTAAAAGTTAATTGGATGGGGCAACTTTAAAAGACCTTGAAACTACATCTGTAGCCATTTTGTGGTGCTTTTCCTATGTGCAAAGCCTGGTGTAGATGGTGTGCTGAAGCATTGATAAGATAATGATAAACAACTAGCAGAAGACCAAAAAAGTCCAGTTCATCTCCTTTTCCTGACAAAGAACTGCTCCAGGGGGGTTTCCCCTGAGAGGCAAACCCCCAGGGAGGGGCCCAGAAATCAAGAAATCGATAATAACCCCCACTCCTGGGCAGGGAGAGCCCTGTGCCCGGCCTGCTGACAGAGGACGTACCCATGGGGCCCAGGCTGGGTGCAGAACTGGAGCCGTGCTGGGCAGGCTGCCCCACCAGCTGGTTCACAGAGGGCAGCTTGTTGATTCCTCCGCCGTGGACTTTATTCATGGGGGAAAGCACGGGGCCGTAGGAGGAAGGTGTCTGCAGCTGGCTCCTGTTTGGGGTGGGAACAGTCTGGTCAGACTGGGGTGAGTGGGATGGAGCTGCTCTGCTCCGGGCTGCAGCTCCCTCCCAGCTCACAGGCCTCCTACAAGGGTGCTCAGGGGCTGTGGGGGACTTGAGGGGCTGGGGGGACTGTAGGGGCCTCAAGGACTGTGGCAGTCTCAGGAACTGTGAGGGTCTCAGGAGCTGCAGGGGCCTGGAGGAGCTCCAGGGCTCTGGGGGACTGTGGGGATCTGAGGGACAATGGAGGCCTCAGTGATAGTGGAGGTCTCAGAACTGTGGGGATCTCAGGAGGCTGCAGGGGCCTGGAGGATTGGGGGTTCTCAGGAACTGTGGGGGCCTCAGGGATTGGGGTGGTCTCTGGAGCTGTGAGGGTCTCAGGGGCTGTGGGGTTCTCAGGGCCTGTGAGGGTCTCGGGGGCTGTGAGGGTCTCAGGGGCTGTGGGGGTCTCAGTGGCTGTGAGAGTCTCAGGGGCTGTGAGGGTCTCGGGGGCTGTGAGGGCGACTCACTGCCTCGGCAGGAGCTGCTGCTGCTGCTGCCGGTAGGAATCCACCAGCTGCTGCGGGACCAGCTCCACCAGCTCCAGGCTCTCCTTTATCTTCATCAGGATCTCAAAGTTCTCCCGGCCTCGCACCTGGAGGAGGGAACAAGACCAGGACTTTGCTTTATTCCCATCCCACCTGGCCAATTCCCCATGCTCCCTTTTTTTCACCCAGACCAACTGTCACTGTGGCCAGGGACTGCTTGGGATGCCTCAATCCCTTGGACACCTGTGTCCATGGATGCTTCTGTTCCTATTCCCAAGGCTCCTGCTGTCCTACAGGAGCCCCAACCTGCCTGACATCCCCTCCCCAAGGTGCTTCTGGCAGGGGGGACGGTGCCACCGCTGTCCCAATCGGATTTCTGACCCCATTGCAGCTCACTCACACTTACAGGCACGTAGTACATCTCCTCCTCTCCGTGCCTCCGTTTCTTAACGCCGGTGCCCAGCGCTGGGATGCCCTGGGGGCTCTGCTTGAAGGCTGGAAAGGAGAGGGGAAGAGAATTGGTAGAGTCGTGGGAGACAGGACGTGGCAGGGAGCACCTCAAGCTGTGCAGGATGCTAAAACCATTCCCTTGGGCCCGGCATGTGCATGTCCCTTTGTTATTTTCAATAATGAATAAATATATCCAGCCATGAGAGCCATGCACAGGCATCTTTGGGCTCTGCGAGGAGAGGGGCGGGGTCTGACTTATGAGATTTAGTGGAGAAAGGTCAAAGCATCATCCCTGAGTGTGGATTTGAGCCCAAACTTGTGGAGGGCAGGGATTTCAGGTGCCCGGAGTCCCTCACCCCTGTCAGGGGACTCACTGCGCTTGTTGGCATTGCCGTTCTTGGCCGTGCTCTCGTTCAGGGCTTGCTGCTCTCGGAAATGATCCTCGTCGGCTTTCCGGTCCCTGCCGGGACAGGCACAGATCCGCCCCTCGAAGGATCTCCTGCCCAGGACCTGGCCGCTGGGAGAACAGCGCAATCAGTGGCCCTGCTTCCCCTTGGGAAGGGCACTGGGGCTGGCGAGGTGGACACCTTGATCTGGATGGGGCATGTCTTGGCGATCTGACAGTAGAGCTTCTTCAGCAGCGGGGAGTACTGGAAAACAGGAGACATCCCTCAGGTGGGGTGGAGGGTGCTCCCCCATCCAACCTCAGCTTCCTCTGCTGCTCTGGTGCAAAGGCAGGGCTTCCTTCTCTTCCCTTTCCCCTGGAAATGTTGAAATCTGACAACTTCACCCACACTATGTTTCCGTGTAAACCAGATACAGCCACCTCCTGGGGCAGGGAAGGGTTTTACAGATGGGCAAGGGCTCTGGCAGAGCAGGCACCACTGCACTGAGACAGAGGGAATGTCACTGGAAAACAGGAGACATCCCTCAGGTGAGCATCTCTGGTGGGGTGGAGGGTGCTCCCCCATCCAACCTCAGCTTCCTCTGCTGCTCTGGTGTAAAGGCAGGACTTCTTTCTCTTCCCTTTCCCCTGGAAATGCTGAAATCTGACAGTTTCACCGGCACTATGTGGTAGCTGCTCTCCACATAAGTCAGATACAGCCACCTCTTGGGGTAGGGAAGGGTTTTGCAGATGGGCAAGGGCTCTGGCAGAGCAGGCACCACTGCACTGAGACAGAGGGAATCTCACTGGAAATCAGCAAAACTCTTGTTCGTGCATCACTCAGCCCATTTTGGAAATGGGCCTCACACATGGAGCACTCAGGGCACTGACACACCACAGCCAAAGGAAATAATGCTTGGTGCCATTAGCAGTGTCACAGGACCTGGGAGTTTAGTTCTGACACAGATGGGTTTGTCCTGATCCTGACTCAATCCTTTGCAGCAGCAGTGGTTCATGGAGGGGACGGGGTAGGGACAGGATGGGGATCACAGCCCGGGCTGGCTGGGGGAGGAGGATGCTCTGTGGCAGCTGGAGGCAGTGCCAGCCGTCACTCCTGAGTAGAAAATGGTGTGTGGCCACCAAATTCCTCCCCGTGAGGGCACAGTGGGGTTTGCTTGGTGGCAAACTTGTCTCACAAGCCCCTTGGATGGAGGAAGCTCTGGGGGCTGCAGTGTGTGCCCCTCCAGAGCAGAGCTGGAGAAGAAGAGCTTGTCCTTCACCTTCCAAGAACTGCCCAGGTGTGGGGATGTGCAATTCCCTTCCACCTCAGCTGTGCCACGCTGTTTTCCATCTCACAAGGAATGTGTTTGCTATACACCAGCCCACCCCTGTGCTCGGAGCAGCCCGTCCCTGCATGGCAGGGCATGTTCCTGCTCCAGGTATTTTATCTCATCCCCACAACACAGCGCCCGATGCCAAAAAAATACCACCGTGCAGAGCGTTTGTGGGGATGTTAAAGCTTGTCCTGAGCCATCCAAATACAGGTGTGCCGAGGGGAGGCTCTGCTCTCCCCATGCCAGGCAGTTCCTGAGCAGGGGCTGCCCAAAACAGGGGCTCAGCACAGGGCTGGAGGGTGTTCAGGGGCTGACAGTGATGGCTCTGTCCCCACTTTTCCTGGCTATGAGCATGTCCCAGTGCAGCTGTGGATCAGGCAGGAAGGATTTGTGTCTCCCAGTCCCACTGGGATCTGCAGGAGTAGATCCATCCATGGCTGAGCTGCTCCCACCACCAGGACAGGGATAGGGCAAATAACAGAAAACATTGCCAGGTTTGTCTCATTTAGGTGGTCTCTGTGGAAGTTCTGAGAAGACATAAAGGGCCGAGGATCTGCCAAGGCAAACAGCAGCAGCTCCTGCAGCTCCTCCAGCACTGCACTGGTGGTGGCCAGCTGCAGGTACCAGCTCAGTGGGGTGTCTTGGGTGTCCCAAGATCAGAATCTGTTCAGTGCTGGGGGAGCAGGAAGATGCTGTGGTCACTGGGGGGTGGTGCCTGAGAGGTGTAACATTCACTTGAACCCAACAACAAGAATTAATCCTTATTTTTGTAGGCACTTGGACTCACCCAACAAGATAAGATGCCTGGAAACACCTACTGAAATCCCAAAATTTTGCTCTCATACCAGATGATGCTGACTACACCTTGACTCCATGGCCAGGTTAGCTTCCTGGGTGTGAGCCTGTATCCCCAGCAGGGATTCTCAGTGATCAGGCCTGAGCTGGAAGCGTGGGCTTCACTCACAATGGGGTGACTCTGCTCTGCCTGGCTGGAAACTCCCATGTGGCTACAGCCCATGGGACCCACTCACCCACCACGATGGGGTTCAACACCCTCGTTTAGAGGAGCCACCATGGCAAAACAAGGGTTATTTGGAGGGGGCTCTTCCTTGCCAGGTGTTAAAATACTGACAACTCCTGTCAAAGGATCTTTTCATGTAGACATTCCCGGGCAGCCCTCAACATGCCTGGGAACTATAACTGCTCTGGAAGAGCAGAGGTGCATTATGGCAAGTTCTTTGGTAACAAATTCTCTCATTATACCATGTTATGACATGGATAAATCTCTGTTAAATAGCAGAGTGATGCCCTGCAGGGGGAAGGCGGCCGCTCCGTGCAGACTTGCCTCTGCTGATAACCTTATCGTGTCCCAACAGCTCCGGGATCGCCTTCAAAGATCCCTCCACAATAACAAACTATTCTTTTAAGGAACTCCCTGCTGATAATTCTGGGCAAGAAAAGTCCAGGCTGTGCCCTGGGTGGCTGCGCTCCTGATTCCTCTCCCTGTGGAGCCGTCCTGTGCCACACCTCCAGCTGCAGCCAGGGCTGAGAGGTCCCACAGAGAGGACCTGGCTGCTCATGGCCACCAGGACAAGCAGCATTGTGATTTTGGGATGCCAGGAGGTTCTGCATCCCCAGCTTGGCAAAGCACACTCTCTGTAGGGGACAGCAATATCTGCACTGTGTAGTGTCCCTGGGCAGACACCTCTCTCCTCCATTATCTGTATTTGATAATTATTGGCCCCATGCACATCTCTGCTGGGCTGTGCTGCATCACCTGAGGTCCTGGTACCTCCCAGCACAGCCATACCCTGCCCAGCACCCTGCAGGGACCACAGCCTCCTTAAATGTGACATGAGGCAGTGGCAGAGCAGAACCCAGAGATCAAAATGCTGGGATTTAATCTCAAACCAGCGTGGCTGCCTCGCTGCTTGGCTCTCTGTGCCATGGCTGTGTTCCTGCCACCTGCACAGGGGAACCTCAGTCTGTTTACCCACATCCTTCCCATTCTGCAGTGTTTAGACAAACTGACCTCTCAGGACTGGCCACATGTGGCAGCTGGGTCACAGCCAAAGCTCAGGTCACTTGAGCTGTGGCCAGCTTGCTGCTGGGTATAGGAACAATATTTTGGGGCACCTGAACCCTTTCCTGGCATGTCCAGGATTCCTTTCACACCTACAAAGAAGCCAGGGTATGTTCTGCCCTGGGCATCTCCTGTCTGTGCCTCCACACCCTGCTCTACCCTGGGGATCACTGGTGTCTGTCTCCACGGTTACATTTGGACTCAGGTCACCTCTGTTCCTGGAAAACATTGGAGACTCTCTGTTTTGAGTATTATTTGTGTTTGAGGAACACAAAAGGTTTCTGTGGCTTGTGAAGGCTGGGTTGATTGAACCAGCACAGAGCAGCTGCAGCACTGACAGTCTCCCCTGGAAACACACAGAACCCCTATTCCTTTGGCATTTCCTGCAGCTTGCACAGCACTGACAGTCTCCCCTGGAGCCTATGGAAACACACAGAACCCCTATTCCTTTGGCATTTCCTGCAGCTTGCAGTGTTGCCCTCAACTTCTGGGCTGATACTGTAATGCCAGCTCTGTCTCTGTCCCTTCCCTGCTACTGCTGTCTGTCCAGAGTACTGGGAATAAGCAAAAAAAATGGAAAAGCCAAATTATTTAACTCCTAGCAGCCTATCATCTCTAAGCTCTGTTTCCCCAAGAGCTTAGTACCACAAAGGGCCTTTGGATGTGTCTGAAATGCAGCTGTTTTTTGGGTGAGACCATACTGCACCACTGCCAGATGGAACAGGACATAAACCAGTCACCCCATGGTGCCACCGGCCACTGTGAGGCTTCACCATGGTTATCCTGGTGCTGCTGCCCCAAGGAAATGTTCTGGACACCACAAGATTCCACTGAGTAAATGCCCCACAATGGCTCATGGATGCAGCGCTGACGTGGAGCCTCAGCATCATCACTGCCCACCCTGAGAGAGGACCAGGAGATGGCTCCAGAGGCCACCACTGCTCAGCCCCGGGGCTACCTCCCCACACAGGAAATGAGCAGGGAGAGGTGGTTTTCCCCATGGATGCTGACAGCCTCACACAAAAAATAACCTGAATCCTCTGCTGGAAAGTCTTCCTGGCGAAGTCCATCTCGCCCGGCCATCCCTGGGCAGCAGAACCGCTAGGAGGATGTGTCCCAACAGATTTGGAGCTGATAAAATCTTATTTATCTTCAACTGTTGACACCTAAGCGTCTAGACTTGCCTGTTGGGGAAGGCGCAGCCAAGGCCTCCTTTCCCTCTAGAAGGAAATGATTTGCTCAACAATTGCTTTTTCCACAAATCCTCCCCTCCTCCTCCTCCTCTTCTCCTACATTCCAGGCTTCTCATTAGCTTGACTCAAGACGTGTCCAGGACTGCAGTCAATGGATCCCCAATAAAGCCACTGGCCTGGCAAGGCAGAGAGAAGAAAAGTGCTGCCTCCGGCTGCTAATTTCCTTGCACTCCCCAGCAAGCAGCTGCAGAGCTGCATCCTGGGACAGGTTGGGGCAGATCGCAGGCGAGAGGTGATAATAACGTGTCTGTCATCTTCCCCAGACATGTAGCATCTTGCAAACCGCAAATACCGTTAACCGGCTCGGACGAATCTGTTACGGCAGATCCTGGAAGACGTGCCGGCGGCACAGCTAATTTTTTTTTCTCTGTCTAATTTTTTTTTAATAACTATTTTTTAATCACCGGCCTGTAAACTCCTCACTGAGCTGGAAATTCCTCCCCAAGCTACTTTGTTGCTCATTTACTACGAGCCAGGTTTGAGTACGACTGGTGTCTGAGAGGAGAGGGGAGTGTCCAGCAGGGCCTGAGGTACCTGTCAGCACACAGGTGGGCTGAACAGGGGGGATATTGCCCTGGGGATGGCTGTAAGAGGT